TCCTGCACCATGCACTGCCCCCTGGCAATGTTCCAGAAGGTGGATACGGTCATGAACAAGACAATGGAGGGGCCCACCTCATCTTAAGGACTCACCATCTACCAAGGAAGAAAACCCAACAAGATATAATGGATTTCGAACTTCTTTTCCTAGCCGTTTTGAAATATATAACCCAGGGTGGCGTAAGAATGACACAGGGTAGGGACTAGGGGGGTTCTCTGTAGAGGTGACATTACAACCAAGGCCTGAATTACCCGACAGGAAATGATGCTGACTCAGGAGGCCGAGGCGAGGCTCCAGTAAGAAGCGGTTCCTTCCTACAAGTTCCCTGGGTTGTCACTGGCCACACACCATGGCCTGTGTATGTCTTTCCCCTTTAGACTCGTGTTCTCAACCGGAGCAACTCTGACACCCAGGGGATACTCAGCAACACGGAAGACACTTCAGGTTATCACATCTGGAAGCAACTGGTGGGTGGAGACAGTGTCCAGGGTGGCCTCTCGCCATAAAGAATAGTCTAGCCCCCAAAACTGAAGTTAAGACACCCTGCACCAAAGGCTACCCGAGGCTGGGACTCCCTTATTCACCTTCCTTAGACCTATGGGCCACTCCCTACTTGTCAGTAGCCAGCAGGCTTTGTGATAAACTGAGGGGAAAAATGATACTTCAAAACACTCAAACTAGAAAAACTAAGAAACAGAGAGAAAGTGGAGTGGCGGGTCACACCTGTAATCTCAAAACTTTGGGAGGCCAACGCAGGAGGATCACTTGAGTCCAGCCTGAACAACATGGTGAAACCCTGTCTCTATTTTAAAAATGTAAAAAAGGCCAGGCACAGTGGCTCACGCCTGTAATCCCAGCACTTTGGGAGCTGAGGTGGGAGGATCACTTAAGGTCAGGGGTTCGAGACCAGCCTGGCCTACATGGTAAAACCCTGTCTCTACTAAAAATACAAAAATTAGTTGGGTGTGGTGGTGCATACCTGTAATCGCAGCTACTTGGGAGGCTGAGGCAGGAGAATGACTTGAAACTCAGAGGTGGAGGTTGCAGTGAGCCGAGATCACGCCACTGCACTCTAGCCTGGGTGATAGTGAAACAGTGTCTCAAAAAAATAAAAAAGTAAAAAAAATTCAATTAAACTAAAAAAAAAAAAAGAACTTTGGGAGGTTGAGGCAGACGGATCACCAGGTCAGGAGTTTGAGACCAGCCTGACCAACATGGTGAAACCCCGTCTCTACTAAAAATACAAAAATTAGCTGACAGTGATGGCAGGCACCTGTAATTCCAACTACTTAGGAGGCTGAGGCAGGAGAATCGCTTAAACTCGGGAGGCAGGGATGCAGTGAGCCGAGATCATGCCATTCCACTCCAGCCTGGGTGACACAGCAAGACTCCGTCGCAAAAAAAAAAAAAAACGATGGCCGGGTGCAGTGGCTCACGCCTATAATTTCAGCACTTTGGGAGGCTGAGGCGGACAGATCATGTGAGGTCTGGAGTTTGAGACCAGCCTGACCAACATGGAGAAACCCCATCTCTACTAAAAATACAAAATTAGCCAGGCGCGGTGGCACATGCCTGTAATCCCAGCTACTCGGGAGGCTGAGGCAGGAGAATAGCTTGAACCGGGGAGGCGGAGGTTGCAGTGAGCCGAGATCGCGCCATTGCACTCCAGCCTGGGCAACAAGAGCGAAACTCTGTCACAAAAAAAAAAAAAAAAAAGAAAAAAAAAGAGTATCACCAGGGCCTCTGTGTGTGGGAAACCCTGTGAGGCTTTCAGACGATGGCCTCTCAAAGGACTCCAGGGAGCCGAAAGCTCAAAGGACTCCTGAAGCCACGCGAGTCACAGCCTGGACCTGGGACATCTCTCATGTGTCTGTGCTGAAGCCACTCAAACAACAGCCCAGACTGCTGGGAAGCAGGGCTGGAAACCTGACTGCACCTGTGTCAATATCAACTGGAAGCGAGTGGGCTCTCGGGTGCCCCGAAGAGAACAAACTTCTACAGCTAAGACAGGAAGCCCTGGAAATGACTGTTCCTGGGCTGCAGGAAGATGACCAAGGCCCTGCTGAGTAGCTACTAAGTGAAAAGTTCTTTTCAAGCCTTTCCCCAAATCAATGGGCCTGCACCGTCGTCACTGTCACCTAAGCCACCTAGGGGGAGACAAGACTGCCAGCCCTCCACGGTTGGGGACCCGCGGCTACTTAAAGGAAGAGCCAACTCCAAATACAACCACAGTGTGGCGCCTGTCATGATCTAGCCCTAAAAGTCGCGTTACTCCACGGGCAGGGACTCTGCTGAAAGGCAGTGTCCACATGCAGGACGCACAGTTCACATCTTTCCACTCCGGCTCTTTCTGAGTGAGTGACAGGAACGACACCCAGTGTTTCCACAGCGTTCAGGCTCTGCAAAGTGCTCTCATGGATGCTCCTACTGCAAACGAGCTTGGCTTTCTCCCGTAGTCGTGATTGTTCCGGAGATTAATCTTCCTAAGGCTTTCATGGTCTGAGGCGCTAGCAGTACATCTGGATCCTGGGGCTTCATTTGCAAACAGGAAATGGAAGGCTCTTCGGAGTTCAGTGGCCACACGCTTCCAAGTTCCCCTTTAAAGCTGAGACTCGGCCAGGTGCGGTGGCTCACGCCTGTAATCCCAACACTTTGGGAGGCAGAGGCGGGCAAATCACAAGGTCAGGAGTTCGAGACCGGCCTGACCAGGTGATCAGGCCATTAAAAATACAAAAAAACTAGCCGGGCATGGTGGCGCATGCCTGTAATTTCAGCTACTCAGGACGCTGAGGCAGGAAAATCTCTTGAACCCGGGAGGCGGAGGTTGCAGGGAGCATGATTGAGATTGCACCACTGCACTCCAGCCAGGGCAACAGAGCGAGACGCCATCTCAAAAAAAGAAAAAACAACTAAGACTCGCTCCTTGGCTTTCAGGAGACAACAGGCTGTCGACGGACAGGGTCTTGCACAGAGAAGCAGCAGAATTTTTTTTTTTTTTGAGATGGAGTCTTGCTCTGTCACCCAGGCTAGAGTGTAGTGGCACAATCTCTGCTCACTGCAACCTCCGCCTCCCGGGTTCAAGCAATTCTCATGCCTCGGCCTCCCAAGTAGCTGGGATTACAGGCATGCGCCACTGCAACTGGCTAATTTTTGTATTTTTAGTAGAGACAGGGTTTCACCATGTTGGCCAGGCTGGTCTCGAACTCCTGACCTTGTGATCTACCCGTCTCAGCCTCCCAAAGTGCTGGGATTATAGGTGTGAACCACCGCGCCTGGTCGAGCAGCAGCAGAATTGACACGCACCTTGTACACAGAATGAATACAAAAGCACTGCCACATTACCCTTCGCTGTTCTCTTTCCAACTGACTGCAGAGTGTCAAATCCCTAACTGACTGGACAGTCTACCATCTCTTCCACCAAAGGACAGACCTACCAAGTGGATCCAGCAGTAGATTCTGACATTCCCTGCTAAAACTCTCGGGGTGAGGCCTTGGAGGAGGTTGGGAGAGCTGGTTCACTTACACCAGTGGTTCTCAACAGGGGCACTTTTGCCCCCAAGGAGACACCTGGCAATGTCTGGAGACATTTCTGGCTGTCAGAACTGAGTGAAGGTCTGGTGGGTGCAGGCTAGGGATCCTGCTAAACATCCCACAACGCACTGGGAAGCCCCCAACAGCAAAGAATTATGCCTTAAATGGCAATAGTGCTGAGGTGCAAAAAATGACAATGGACATCTTATAAAAGGAAATATTAAGTAGGCTTTCTTTTTCTCAGAGGCGCTAGTGAGCTCAAGCATGAAGACACCGCAGAGATAGAAGGGGCAGTGAGCCAGGCATGGTGGCTCACGCCTGTAATCCCAGCACTGTGGGAGGCCAAGGTGGGCAGATCGCTTGAGGCCAGGAGTTGAAGACCGGCATGGGCAACATAGTGAGACCCTGCCACTACAAAAAAAAAAAAAATAATAAATTAGCTGGCCATGGTGGTGCACACCTGCAGTACTAGCTACTAAGGAGGCTGAGACAGGAAGATCACTTGAGCCCAGGAGGTTGAGACTGCAGTGAGCTATGATGGCACCACTGC